CATAACTCTGGCAGTAATGTGAACATGTGGGTGTATAAAAAAAAGGTAGAAAGAAGTAATTAAATCTTCAGTATACAAAAAATGGCTTCATTGGTAGGAAAATTTCTATTATTTATTTATTTTTTTAAAAGTAACTTAAAAGATATAAAACATTGCTACCCTGGTGAATCCCCATCACTGGGTAGCCTTTACTCATTTTACACATTTGGCGCTTTTCGGTGAATAAAAAACGTCTGTATTTACAAGTATACGGACTGATAGGGGTGACGACAATATCCATACGCAGACCATTGTACTTATGATCAAAATGGACGTAGTCCTGGAATGTCATTCTTTTCTAATTAAAAACCATTATAATGAAATCTGGTTTAACGTCCTACTTTTCTGTTCCGACTGGGCTAATGAAGATGGACATGCGCCATACAGTGTGCTATGAGGGGAAACATTGCCCAGGCAGCGGCACTATGGCATACTCTATTACGTGCATGCCAATGTATACACGGGACCTCAGTTTTTCGTCCCATTCAAAAGACTAGACAGCTGTCCATGTCAGGTCCCCCGTCCTGTACCACTGACAAGGGGAAACCATGTCGGCAATTCCCGATGAACTTTCTCGGTTAATGCAGGGATCGAACCCACGACCTCCAGACTAGCGAGCCAGCGTCTTACCCACTTAGCCACCGTGGCTCCCTAATGACTATTCTATAAAGTCAAGAACACCAGTGGAATAATACAATATATTGTACTATATGTGTGACTATAGGGCAATGATTACACAAATATTTGATAATATACCATAAATTATATACAAGCCTATATTATAACTTGTCTTGAATGACTTGAATTAATTTCTGTTAAGCGTTATTTGTCATGAAATATCGGCTGATCATGAATAAATAATTTATTCTATTGAATAATGATGGTGAATGGCGTGGATTTATCTAGGCTATGGTTTATTACTAAAGATTCGATATGTCAGAATTATAACAGTTTAAAATAGATGAAATGAAATGGGCCGGTTTAGCGTCCTACTGTTCTACTCCGACGGGAATTAGATAATGAAATGGTATTTAACGCCTTACTGTTCTACTCCGACGGGAATTAGATAATGAAATGGGGTTTAACGCCCTACTGTTCTGCACCAATCACTAGGAAATAGGTAATAAAAAATAAATATATTGATAATTTTAGTCAAATTACTTATTGTTAGTGAATGAGTGGCCGATGGAAATACCGCCCAAGTACCATAGCCTTGATCATAAACGACGCCGCAGGTGCCAGCCCTTTTAAGGGGCCACGGTGGCTAAGTCAGTAAGACGCTTGCTCGCTAGCCTGAGGGCACCGGGTTCGTTTCTAGTATTGGCCGAGAAGTTCATCGGGAATTCCCGACGTGGTTTCCCTCAGCTGTCTAGTCGTTCGGATAGGACGAAAAACCGTGTCCCGTGTGTACGTCCGTCTTCCTTAGTCCAGTTGGAGCAGAAGAGTAGGACGTTAAACCTCATTTCATTTGTCAGTCCTTTAACGCAGATATCTAAGCCACTCGATGATCTAGAGAGCTTGTCATGTGACTTAAGTGTGAATTTTAAGTCGAAGGAAGAGATATGCCCGAGATATCTCTTACATTATTTTGCCCAAATTAAGATTTTGAACAGTTGTAAATTTAACACCGGTTAACTATGTAAACAGGAACGTTCCAGTTTGTCAACTGATATCAGATATTCGTCCTCAAATAATTAAAATCGATCAATCTAATCCATTATTCTAAACGCTTAAGAGAAATGGTTTAGCCCCTTTTCGGATCGCGTGAGAGAGAGAGAGAGAGAAAGACAGAGAGAGAGAGAGGGGGGGTTAACGTCCACTCGACACAAACTATGTCATTTCGGGACTAACACATGGTTCAATTTTATTTCAATAATTATTAGCGCGTAGGGGTTTTTAGCAGTGGGAGGAAACCGAAGAAAACCCACGAGGTTGGACAGGTGATCCTAATCCTTGTCACGTACAGCCGGGGAATCGAAACCACGGCAGTTGACTCAAGGATAGACCGTAGGATACAGTGCAGCGCGCACGTGCTAACCATTCGGTCATCTAATCCACCTATTTTGTAAGTTGTGTGCTATAAAAATAAATCATAATTATGTGAGAGCGTGTCACCGAGTCATTATGTGCTACATAAATTGGGTGTGGGACCTGGCTTTCGAGTTCAAGGACAGAACGTAGGATACAACGCGCTCGAGATAACCATTCGGCCATCCACCCCCCCTTATCGGACAATGTACTAATACGGAGGGGGGGGGGGTAACGCGTGTGCGTTAGATCATAAGGTCTGTCATTGAGTCAATGGGCGTGGTTACAATAACCCGCTTGTATGTGACAACAAGGAGTTGGGTCGCCTGTCCAATCTCTTGTGATTTCTCCGATTCCAATGTTTCTTCCCATAGCTCAACACAAATACGCTCAAGCGAATTATTGAAATAAAATTGAATCATACGCTAGTGGCAAATGACCTAGTTTGTGTCGTGTGGGTGTTAAAACCCGTTCCTCTTCTATATCGATACAGAAAACATCACGTACATGATGTAATGGCAAACGGTTGTCGACAAGTATAAATGATAATCGTGTGTTCTGAAACGAGAACAGCATGAAATCATAACGGCTCAAGTAATCAGTTATATGGAACTAACACCTGTGGGGAGGAGTTGAGCCTAGATAGTGGTCTTTCTGTCTCTTCTTCCTTTGTTGTAGTTCTAGAGGGGTACTTTCTTCCGATAAGGGCGTTTTCACCTACCCTTCTTCGGGTTCCAGCTCGGTTTTTACGCAACCATAAGATAATATAGACGCCACAGAGAGAGAGAGAGAGAGTGTGTGTGTGGGTGATGTGTGTGTGTGTGTGGTTGAATACAATAACCATTATTTTGATATAAATGTGAGTTAATCGTCGACATCCTATGTATATTAAACATGGTTGTAATTATCTCTAATCTATAATAAACAGACAAGTTTATAATAATAGTTGATTATATTGGGGAATATGTCAGTTATAACTACCATTGAGATATACAATACACTCATATAATCTAATTACACCATACATATATACATACATACAGATATACCACAGTATAGACTAGGGTTTAACGTCTTCCTGTCAACATAATATTAGGCAAACCTATTAAAATATAGATCTCATTTCGTATTTTACTTTTCTGCATTACATCAGTGCAGGCCATCGAAAGTGTAAGAAAATGGAATTGAAATATAGATCTGTATTTTTCAAGCCGATATTTTGTCAGGCATTTTGTCTCAAATAAAATGGGGTTTAAGGTCGTCCTGTTCTGCATCAACTAGGGGGTTGGGTGCGGGGGGGGGGGGGGTAGACGCTTTAGACCATAAGGTCTTTCATTGAGTCAAGTGACGGGGTTTCGATTCCTAGCGTGTACTAGGGTCACCAGTCACCTTTCCAACCTCGTGGTTTTTCTCTGGGTCCTCCGGTTTCCTCCAACTCCTAAAGACACCTACGCGCAAGAGAATTATGGAAATACAACTGAACCATATGTTATAGTCTCGAGTGGACGTTAAACCCTATTTCCCTCTTTCTTTCTGTGGCGTGTTTAGAGTGATACGGAGGTTTAGTATCTAACTATTCTCCACCAGCTCGGCTAATGAAGAATGCGTATGTTTCAAATCAAATGACATTTAATGACATCCCGTCGTCATGACAATTTTTAGTAAAGCTATATTTGGTATCTTTATATGATATAACCCTCCCCTCTATGTCCGTTTGTACGGAATAACATGCGTGTGCGTGGGTTAATAACAACTAGCAATGAATGTGTGCCTCATATCCGTCTGTACAATATAACATATTCGTTCGGGAATTGATTAAAGACAGGGAGAGAGAGAGAGAAATGGGGTTTAACGTCCACTCGACACAAACTAAGTCATTTCGGGACTAACATATGGTTTAATTTTATTTCAATAATTCGCTTGCGCGTAGGGGTCTTTAGCAGTGGGAGGAAACCGGAGGACCCGGAGAAAACCAACGAGGTTGGACAGGCGACCCTACTCCTTGTCACGTACAACCGGGGATTCGAAACCACGCCAGTTGACTCAATGACAGGCTTTATGATACAGCGCGCACGTACTAACCATTCGACCATACAACCCACCTGATTAAAGACAAAAATCCTGTTTAAAGTATAGTCGTTATGAATAGTTCATACATATACAGTTATAGTTAACTATCCGTCTTAATCTCCTGACACTTACATGTCCTCCACACCTCTAGGGAACCGTTCAGACCCCCCCCCCCCCAAAAAAAAAAACCCTTTAGGGAACCTTCCAGATCCCCTATCTCCAATACTGTAACACAATCACAAGTCACCTGCTTCCTCTAAACTGTGTATGGCTATTTTCGAAACACCATGAAAATGTTTGTCACGGAGACGACAGTTTTTGGGGTTGTTTATTTTTGTACGTTGATGTGATAAAATCTTCGTACTATTAAACACCCCTTTGTCACTCTACATATGAAGTGTGTGTGTGTGTGGGGGGGGGCTTGAAAAGCGTTCAGCCCTCCGGTAATGAAAGTAGGGCGATGTAGGCCTGTGTAGTTTAGATATCTTTTACAATTTTTGGTACTGTGTATCTTACATGTAACTTTATTAGTAAGCTCGAGTTGAAAATACAAACAAAGGCTTCTGAATACCCATATATTTTAATTCGAAATTATCGATATCTTACAGAGTGAGAGGGTCCAAACAACTAAATAACGATGGTTGAATCAAAACAAAGGAACAGGTTGTAGTTAATGCTATAAAATACGATTCACCCATCTATTCGACAATTAAACAAATTCCCTACTTACATTTGAAATAATGATGCCAATTAAAACAAAGGAAGTGTTTTATATAGGCCTAGTGCTATAATACGATTCGCCAATTTATTCGACATAGGAATACATAGTTAAAACCAACAATTATTAGAAATTTTCTACTTACATTTTGATTCGCTATCCTCTTCTGTATCTCTATCGTAACACCCCCACTCTAACTGTTCTCAACCTCCATTCACCTCGCACCTCTATACACTAAACACATACAATTCTAGTGTCGTTCTAAAATCCCGCCAAACAACATAACAACACGCCCACACAAAGACGCGAAAAACACGTGCTTGTCATCAACAGTAAAACTCCGTATGTACAAAAACACCAGTTGAATAATCCTAAATCTGGTTTCTCAATCAATAATGGTAACGTCCGGTGATTCTGCTTGTTAATCCTGAAAGATAGATCAGACGACAATTTAATACCGTTTCCACAAAGACTCTACTACAATAGATGAAGTCGGTACAGTGGTGTCATGAAAGATAATACTCAATTAACCAGTCGCACATTACAACCACTTTGTGTGGAGATAGTTACCAGATGTGATAACCGAGTCACGCCACGGTTGAATGACGACAAAGAAAAGGCGACTATGGCTCGCCGTTCTTCGCGATGTCTGATTTCTTCGACTTGAGCAAAATAATCTATTGTTGTTGAATGATCAACACAACCATTCTTAATAATAGGTAACACATGTTCAAAGGGAGATTACTGCGTTTAACAGTCTAACATCAATCAGCTGGCCACAGATCACCATTTATTTCCCCATCGACTTTAATGTTTATTCTCGTCTCTTAGACAGGTCGTAACCAACCCAGTAGGATCGAACCCGAGATCCAACGCCTTACTCACTAAAACCACTGTGGGCCCATTAATAAAGATAAAATAAAGGTATGTAAACCTCAAAATGACCTATCCAGTGTAATACATCATTTTATTTCCTTTACATGCTCCAACCTCGTGGGTTTTCTCCGGGTCCTCCGGTTTCCTCCCACTGCTAAAGACCCCTACGCTCAAGCGAATTATTGAAATATAATTGAACCATGTGTTAGTTCCGAAATAACCTAGTTTGTGTCGAGTGGACGTTAAACTCTCTCTCTCTCTCTCGCCCTCTCTCTCTCTCTCTCTCGCGAGTACCACTGGTTGGGAATCTCTTTCTCTCTCTCTCCTTTCCTTGATACCGTGTTTGCTAATTTTACAGCACTAACAAATAGTGTATCACTTCGTTATCTAAACTACCATGAACGCTTCGCTTGATATCGACATCGTACATTATTTTCGTAAAACACCGTGACGAAGGAATCAAGATCCAGTCAAAGTGTTTCGTGCGCGATGAACCGGATGTTCTGAAGTTAAGAATTATTTCTCGAGACCGTGATGATACGACCGAATTTTGTCTCGAGGCAGTATTGATAACAGATCAAGTAACAATTGACCGCTTTTTGTAGGGTCAAAGTTTGAAAGATGGCGAGAAAGTTTCAGATTTCAAATTAAAGACTCCCAAGACAATAGTTCCCCTATTTTAATTTATGATTACTTTAAAGATACATTATGGGAGATTCGATAACGAGTTGGCAGTTCTCACTATAATAGTTAAAAACTAGATAACGTAAAGGCAATTTGCTGAAAATTTCATTCAAATTGATCCACTATGAGCCGAAAACTAAGCGAATGAAATTTCTGCCTAGCCTCGGTCATCATTACTAAAGTCAGTACGATAAAGAGCATAGTCTCGATTATCTATTTAATCGTTTAATCGAGAAGGAAAGTTATGCAGTAAATCGGCTCACAATCCACTTAAGATCACAGGCTAGCGAGGCCATCTAGAGTTGATTATGGTCTGGATAAATTAATTAATGTCTAATTAATAATTTAGATAACATTTCAGGCCTAAAGAAAGACCTACACTAGACAGATTTAGCTCTTGCATAATGTATGTTTAAGGAATGATATTTTCTTTCCACTGTATTAATATACTGGACAGGAAGGAGAGGGGGCGATCGGAGTCAGACCACACAAGTTTAGATTGACTAAATTAAAGCCTCTAATCAATCGTCTGTGTGCGGATTTTTGAAGATCTTACAAATTACAATATTGTAAAAATTGAACAGCTTTAAAATGTCGTCATGAACTGTTGGTTACGATGACGGGTCCTTCTGGTAACGAATCCACCATGGTACGGGCCCCTCTGGTTACGAGTCCACCGCGGTACGAGTTCCTCTGATTACGAATCCACCGCGGTACGAGTCCTTCTGATTACGAATCCACTGGGGTACGAATCCTTCGAGTTACGAATCCGCTGGGGTACGAGTTCTTCTGGTTACGAATCCAAAATGGTACGAGTAACTCTGAGGGGTTGGATGGCGGAATGGTTAGCGCCTGCGCGCTGTATCATAAGGTCTGTCATTGAGTCAACTGGCGTGGTTTCGATTCCCCGCTTGTACCTGGCAAGGAGTAGGGTCGCCTGTCCAACCTCGTGGGTTTTCTCCGGGTCCTCCGGTTTTCCCCCACTGCTAGACTCCTATACGCGCCAGCGAATTATTGAAATAAAACTGAACCATGTGTTAGTCCCGAAAAGACATAGTTTGTGTCGAGTGGACGTTAAAACTCTCTCTCTCTCTCTCTCTCTCTGGTTAGGAATCCGCCTCGGTACGAGTCCTTCTAATTACGAATCCACTGGGGTATGAGTCCTTGCGGTTACGAATCCACTGTGATACGAGTCCCTTTGGTTACGAATCCACCGAGGTACGAGTCGGTCTAGTTATGAATCCACCGAGGTACGCGTCCTTCTGGCTTAGAAATGTTATACATCCAACATTATATAGTTTCTGTCACTGACAAACTTTTAATTGCCTTTTCCCTTTTTGTTTTCAATTTGAAAATGGCCCTATTACAATTACTTCCTATTACAGTAATTTCCAATTAATTTATTCTGTATTATTTAGGGGGCAAGTTTCTTAATTCTGTTAACTCACTTCCTCCGATACGCGGAAGCGATATAAGTCATATAGACCTATGTTACGTTAAACGATATCAAACTCTTTTAAATGTATATCCGGGGCCTATTTCACGAAATTTTAACTAAGATAAAATTCAAATTTTAGTAATTTGATTGGATAATATTAGATTGATTTTAGTGCTTAGCCAATCAAACTTGAAGTATCTACTAAAATTTGGATTTTATCTTAAGTTAAGATTTCGAGAAACAGGATCCTGGACTTTAGAACGCACTAGGTAAAGCGTGCGTCCTTTCGAGAAACTACTAACAAAACATGGCGTCACTTTCCTATCTTTATCTGGAGATTCTCCTTTGTCAGTGGTGTAGGACGAAGGGAGGGGGGGGGGGTTAACGTCCACCCGAAGTCCCGTGTAAACATTGGCGTACACGTAAAATATCCCCTGACAGTTAGGATTCGATATAACTGTAGATCGTGGTGCTGCTGCCCGAGCAAAATTTTCCTCATGACACAATGTATGGCCTATACCCATATTCATTAGCTCAGATGGAGCAAAACAGTGGGACGTTAAACCACATTTTATTTTATTTGTAATATATTACGAAAGCGTATGTCCTATCGGGAGACCAATAACAAAACATAAAGACATTTCCTAGCGACGTAGAAAGCTGTTTTTATTAAAACTGTTTAAAGTGTGTTGAGTGATCTATCTGGTGGGAACTAGGTCAACATGCAGCATGTGGCATATCGGGTGTCGTCGCATGTGTGTACTTCATGACGTCCTGTTTGTTAGCTCCTTTAAGTCGAGAAAAATCGCAACTTTTAGTACGATCGTGGACTATTATAAAATACTTCCAATGGGTTAATAAGAGTCCTGTTATGTTGTGTTGTGCCCTGCCCATTCGTAGATATTTAACCTTATTAATATCAAACATATCAAAGAGTGCTGACAGGATGCAGTCTTTATCTAGATCGCGGGTAAAGTCCCACCCAACAAATGTATAAAACACGTGACCCTTGATTATAAAAAAACGGACATATGGTGTCCTTTGAGACAGTTCTAACATAAAAAAAATACACATATAAAATACGTATATAAAATCAAAATCTTTAACAGATAATTTCTGTGTGTTTGTGGGGTTTTTTAAAGATGAACATAAAATACATATATAAAATACTTATATAAAATACGTATATAAAAATTATATAAAATTAAAATGTTTAACATAAAATCTGTGTGTGTGTGTTTTAACGGTAAACATAAAATACTTATTTAAAATACGTACATAAAATTTATATATGATTAAATAATGATAATAGAATGTCGATCGTGTACTGGATTACAGTCTTTAATATTGGTAAATTTAACAGTCATTGATTAAACTGGCGAGAGAGAGAGAGAGAGAGGGGAGAGAGAGTAGTCTCTACTGCGACTCTAGAAACTGCAGACATACAATTAAAAAGCATCGAGTTCGAGTAAGTGACCTCAAAAATCGCGCAAAATCAAATCGAGAAGTGTTTCCTGTTGTCAATGTTAAGCCCAAAATGATATCAAATATAACCATATATGTCGAATACATTTTTGGTATCAAAATGTCTCTTTAAAAGAAATTAATTACCCGGTGTTATTCTCAATTAGAATAGAAAGTTTTAAATAACTAGAGGAAATCGAATCAACACATATTGAGGTCGTATTCTCTACTATAATGGATAAAAATAAAACGTGAATAAAGTGGTTTAAACCTACCAGCTGGAATAGATCTTGTCGTTTGTCGAGTATCGTGGCAGAAACCGGGGTTTAAAAGTTGAAAACAGGCTAGTGGTAGATTGGGTTACATTTTTAGAAATATCTACAAGTCACGTGGTTAGCACGACAGTCATATGGCACCACTTGCGGAAGACATATAAGAGGGTCTGTTAAGGTTCATTTTCATTTCGCCAGCAAGTACAGTTAAAGTAGCGATGCGTCATTCGTATTTTTTTCTCCTGACTTTAATAATCCACGCTAATTTGTACTCAGTTTGATTATTGAACATTTAATTTAGAAAAGAAAATCAAGATACCAACGTTAGATAATCAGCCGGGATGATTTCAAAAATAATTAAAATAAGCCCATCAATAATTAGTTGTGGACAACAAAATGGCGGCGAGCTTATTGTATAGCGAGCAGCATAGACCGATGAAATTTTAATCCAGTATATTATCTTTGTATAGGTAAACACTGAATGGAATTATTGCAGGTCTTTATTTTGGCTTAAAATGTTATATACAAAAATCATTTATTAGACGTTTATCATATTCCAAAACAATTTAAAAAAAACAACAACAACTCCCCGCCCCACCCCCCAAAAATACACCAATAATAAGCTCTCTAGACGGTTGTGATTTTCAACGGATTTAAACACGATCAACAGTTAGTAATAAAACATGGATAATCAAGACTACACTATTCTTCAAACGGCCATACCTTCATCCAGAATGAAGTATTTTTACAATCTGTTTCACAGAGAATTACGAGTCTCTGTAAAAGATGACTGTCTTTAAAACGCGCCGTCACAGCACGCGGCGTAAATCATTGGTTAAATGGCGCGTGCATTGTTTACATACGACGTTACTGCTTCGGGCAGAATGCTGCCTTTTGGTCATTTTAATACCCATTTACACTAAATAGGAAATAATTTTTACCAACAAATACGTCAAACGTCTTTATTTATTTTTCTAATACACCAAAAAAAATGTTTTAGAATTTAATTTGTCGGTGGAAAAAAGTTAATACATGTATTTGAGACTCATTAAGTCGCATTGATGTCATCCTTATCAGTGATTGTAGCGGCCTAGCGAATATTCACTGCTGATCAGTGTGGTATTTTTACTGAAATATCAATGTATTCCCTTTTCATTATCTATGTTTGAACGAATATATCAAGAACGGTCAGCTCTTTATCTAAACCTTATATAATATATCTGTGTGTGACAACTGCAATCGGATGCACAGAATTGGGTTTGATAAATTACTAGCTAGTGCTTAACTGTCAAAGAAATGAAATGGGGGTTTAACGTCCTAGTCATACTGTTCTACTCCGACTGGACTAATGAAGGCGGGAACCTGCCATGCAGTGTTCTATGAAGGGGATTTTGCCCGGGCAGCGGCACTGCGGCTTATTCTTTTGAATTCCACTGTGACGGGTTCTTTTGCGTACACGCCAATGTAACCTCGGTTTTTCCATCCCATACAAACGACTATACATTGCCCCTTGTTCTGCACCACTGACAAGGGGGAAACCTTCCGGTAAATCCCGATGAACTTTCGTGGCCAACACCGTGATCAAACACGAGGCCTTAAGGGTAGCGAGTGAACGTCTTACTCATTGAGTCACCGTGGCTATCTAACTATCCAATATATGTGATTTATTATATAATGGTACCGTGATAAGATTAAAACTTAATCCAGGTAACTGTTCTGAATTGTGAGTATGGCTGACAACATGGGCTAAGTGAGAGGGGCGCAATGACGAGCTTGTGTCATGGTTTTGAGTATTTGCGCCCCTTGAGTTTTTGTGCCCCCTCGCAAATGGTAAAAATCACACGGTTTCAATGTGGTTTTCAACATTATAATCATAATGCTTAACCAAAATCAAACATATACCGTGGGTCAGATATGATACAAATCGGCTCTAGCATGTTCTACACTGCCCAATATTACTCGGCGGCACTTCCCCCGCACACAAATATAAATATTGTTTTAGGGGGGTCCGGATGGGATCTTGGCCCTTATGCAAAGTCATGGGTCACCAGGCCCCTGCCTGACAATAACGTTGGGATAAACTTAATTTTTTTATTAATGCATGCTGCATCTTAAAAATAAGTTATACTACTAGAACTTATTAAACATATCCGCTTCAATGTAATCAAATAATTTTCGTTTATCAGCAAATACTGTCAATAAAGTTAATATGTTTTTAAGGTGTACAACACTAGGCAAGTCTTCATAAATATCGTGAATTGAAGAACATTGTTAGAACGCTAAACCCTTTAAAGCGAGAATTTCAAATTTTCTAAGAAAGTCAAAACATAATTATTTCTATGTCTTTTGCTCAATAGGTTATCAAATCACTATTATACTATCACTATCATGGGCATTATTTCCCACCCTTAAAAATCTATGACACAGGAAATAAATACACAATTACCTCCCCTGTTTTGCTATTGACAACATGGGGCAGCCATTTTCCAACGTTGGAATTTGAAGTTAAAAATGATATTTTTGCCAATTTCTCAGCTGGCAATAGCGAATTATAGGATTAATGGGATTATTCTTTAACAAGGTAGGACTGTTTATAGATACCATCTATTTTAAGGCTTTATTTTAATACATTTTAAAAACATAACTTGAAAATTTGCAATTGCAATTTTAATGTTTAGTTTCAAACCATTGTTGGCCAATTATTCAAATTTATCGAGAATTAGTGAAAACCATTTGGTTTCTACTGTTGTATAGTTTAAATGGTCTGTCTAGATTAGATAATGTGTTGGGTTTATAACGAACCAAACCTATAATTAAACTGTTAAACTATTATATATTTTGCTTTTCGGTAAACCTTCATAGAGCCCCCAAGGTTCTGCGTAAAACACTTTTGATCAACAATTGACCCTTGACCTTTATGTCTCGTGTATCCTGGTATTAAGACGGTTATTAATGGCGGTTGATTGTTTGTAATTGATGTATAAATGTCAACCTAAATGTATGTGTTGTATTTAATATTTACAACAAACAGAAGGACGCAATTGAATAAAAAAATGTTGGATACAAATATCGGGCTTTTCAAACTTCACTGAATATGTTAATAAAGGTCACATTTTTGTAACTGTCTTGGTTTTGATATTCGAAAACTGGTTCCGGATGAAATAAAATAGGGTTTAATGTTCTACTGGGCTAGTGAAGACGGACATACGCCATACAGTATGCAATGGGGGATATTTTGCATGATCAGTGGCGCTATACTTATATCGAATTCCACCCGAAGGACTATATACGTTGGTTCGCTGTCCTACACCACTGGCAAGGGGCAATTGGGTCTGCAGTGAAACAATTCACACAGATCAGCAGTGAATTTTCGCTAGGCCGCTACAATCACTGATAAGGATGACATCGATGCGACTTAATGAGTCCCAAATATTAACTTTTTTCTTCCGTCAAATTAAATTCTAAAACATTGTTTTCATTTATTAGAAAAATAAATAAAGACATTTGAATTGTTTGTAGGTAAAAATCATTTCCTATTCAGTGTAAATGGGTATTAAAATAAGTAAAATTCACCATTTAGCCCGAATCAGTAACGTCTTATGTAAACAATGCACGCGCTATTGAGCCAATGATTGACGCCGCGTGATGTGACGTCACGTGTCGAAACAGTCATCTGTTACAGAGATAAAAAGATCTCTGTGAAACAGATATTGGAAACAATTATGAAGTGTCTGCTCTGCTGAATCATCAGTCTTAATAAACGGCTACCCCCCCCCCCTCCACACACACACACACACGCACCCTTTCATTCCCACCTGAATAACATATGACAGTCGTCATTCGTTCAGTCTTATGATGCGCCCGCATAAAATAATATAGTCATATATTGCCGTTGCCCTAGTCTAGTGGTTCTCAACCCTTTTTTGCCAATGGTACACCTTGGAACACATGAAAGAAATAGCGGCACACCTTGCTAAATATATATGAAAAAGTATTTGAATTTTGCAAAATAAAAACATGGCATGTCATAGACGGCATACAACCGTAGACAGAGACAAGCCATATCAGTAGACGCCAGTGAATACACAATTGGGATCGCGTGTTTTTTTTGCATTTTCTTAGTTCGCCGTTCAAAATTTCGGGGCACACCAAGAAAGATCTTGCGTCTTGCGACCGAAATGTTATATAAACAATAATCAATCGTTGTTTTGGAGAAAAAAAAATCACAGTAGCTTCGTACTTTGCCAGATAAAACTATATAGTACAGTACAGTTTTGCTGTTTGAGGTCCCAATGTGATTCATGTCAGGGTTTGCCAGGTAAAACTATATCGTACCATCTCTTATCATGAAACAAGAAGGGTTGAGATTTCTTATCTACTGCTGTACTATGACCAGTGCAGCATTCGGGGGCAACATGGCTAGATCTATTTGTATTGGCCACCTCTAGATTTCGTCACGGTCGCTGTGATGTAAATAAGGTTAGGGCACGTGATTGTGGACGAGATTGTGGGTTAGGGTTTTGGTAAGGGTTAGGGCTAGGTCCAGGGTTAGGGTTAGCGCTAGCCCTGTTTACATCTCGTCACCGTTAACCAAATCTTGAGGTTCCTTAAATCTTCGTTGCTGTATTTTCTCGCAATTTTTGTCAGCTTTGATGTCTCATAACGTTTTTGATTTTAAAGCCACAGTTATGAATAATCCACAGATTTGTGGCAATATAGTTGTTTTCTTTGAATCTACATAACAAAAAACTACCAGCTTATAATCCCTGTGACCTGTTTGAGGTCAAATGGAAGGTTAACCTTTTTTTTAGGGTCAAAGATCTGATAAAAAGGTCAATGTCAAAGTTCATGGACGTGAGGTCAACGAAATGGTCCCCTATTGAAAGCCCTGCCTATGCCCTAATCAGAAACATACAAAAACATATAACATGTGGTTCTTCTAAGAATTATTTTGTTTACTATTTGCCCAGTAACAGTTACCAGTGGTAAAACGCCAGTTTAGCGGATGAGTTTATAGGGTTAAGTAATAGATCTAACCGGGAAACAACGGCCTTTGGTGGTGGCTGTATAATAACCGATGTTGAGCGAAAAAGTTCCCCAGAATTTTCCAGTCTGGTCAGTGGTGCAGGGGGGAGGGGGTCCAGGCCCGCTACTGGGGGGGGGGGGGGGAAGGCGCCCCCCCCCCCCCCACCGAAAAAAGTATCGCTCGCCCTGTGAAAAAATTTCCGACCATAAAAAAATAGATATACATTGTCCGTCAATTTTACAGCACACCTGAGAACAATTCCCCCCCCCCCCCCCCACACACACACACCGCTCGTTGCTCTGAGTTAGTTAGTAGTTACGGCCCTGGGGGATTCTGGCAAGCAAAAACGTCTAGTCATTATGAATAAACAAATATCCGAGGTCACATAATCATTGACGGCGAGTTAAAGACCCATTGGCAGTTGGAATTTGATATATTAAGAGTAGACCGTAGCGCCACTGTCTGGGCAACATTTACCTCATAGCACACTGCATGGCGTATGCCCACGTCATTTGCCCACCAGGTGCAGAAAAGTAGGACGTTAAACTCCATTTTATTTCATTTCATTGACAGTGCATTCACTCTGTGCTGACACTTGGACTTGAGGGTCGAAATAAGAGCAGGCTGATTTCATGATGTTATTCACAATTTCTTATGAACATTTTATATTAAATGAACCATACATTACTTTTTGTTCAACCAAATTATCGCTGCACAAATTATCGCTGCACGGATCTGCCTGACTTCACTTGTTTACGTCATTTATTATGTCTTTGAAGTTAAATTTAAAGGTAAGAAAAATTACTAATATGAATTCTATTTATAGCAATTCTCGCTCTGTCTCATTTCTCCCCTTTTGCATGCCCATTTTTGTTGATTTTTTGGTCTAGAATGGATGAAGAGGGTTCGAATTAACATTTTCTGCCAGGTTTTGGTAAATATTCATGATTTTGAGGCGGAAGGATAAACAGGTTGGCTACGGTGGTATGTACCGCTACTAGTTACATGTTTTTAGTATGCTTCTTCAAGTTTGTGTATCTCAAAATTTTGGTGGTCAACCTCATACAAATTTTAGTGCAAAGACATGACCATTTGTTCCTCTGTCTGTAGTGAAAAGCATTCAGCCCAACGAGAATTTGGGGAAAAGTTGGAGGTGGGCGAATATGCGAGAATTAACATTGAAGTCAATGGGGAAATTAATGGTGGTCTGCATCCTGCTCTTTGGGTTAATAACTAGAGTTATCTCCCTTATACCAACTGTTCTCAAGTTTTCCCTCACGCTTAAGACTTACATGCAGATTTGTTTCAATTCTATTTATGTTTTCTTTATCTTGGTTTTGATTTTATGGCACGAATTAAATAATACAAGACATAAAATATTTAGACCCTATTTATTTTTTTCCCTTTAAAACGCGGCTATATATTTCACTGTCAGCTTTGCATGGTGACGTATAACAACAAATATAGCTTTGATAACCCAGTCGGTAATTGCAGTACCTTTTAACTGGAATTGGAAGACTAGTTAATTGAGACAATAACAAAATGGAAGGCGTTTTGTGGAAGTGGACGAATTATTTATCAGGTAATATTAGATTGTGATTTGCTTGGATTATTTCAGTTGTCTTTTTAATAGTTCTGTATTAATTAATGAAATGGAAACCAGTTTTGTCTACATACAGGAAAACGGTTGACACATTTTCATTTAGAGTGAAACATATTGCAATCATTGTAACAGTTTCCCCCAAAATAAAATACAAAATAAAATCTGTCAGAATATCCGGGATTTGCGGAAACCCAGAAATGATATGCGATACACAGTATCACAATTTTATGGAATACAATTACTGCTTATTATTGAGCGACGTTTCGACTAGGCTGCTCTAGTCTTTATCAATTGCAAGCCATGATAAAATCAGACAGATAGAGAGAGAAATGGGGTTTAAACAATGTCCACTCGACACAAACTAGGTCATTTCAGGATTAGCACATGGTTCAACCATAATTCAATAATTCAATTCGCATGCACGTAGGGGTCTTTGGCAGTAGGAGGAAACCAGAGGACACGGAGGACCCAGAGAAAACTCACGAGGTTGGACAGACGACCCTTATTCTCCTTGTCAAGTAGGCCTACAGCTGACTTAATTAATGACAGACCTAACCTTATGATAACCATTCCCAGGGCTAGAAATTCACTCAAATCTCCAAATCTAATTCGCGCAGGGATTCTCGCAAGAGCTTTTCTAAAAAAAAAAAATCTCGGAGAATTGTCGAGTCCCACTATTGAATGTCAGTCAGTCTCAGTGTTCATCATGGGGCTGTATTTTGTCAGCTTTAGCCGATTGATGTTTATTCAAGCTGATTGGTAAAACAATGAATCGGCCACTTTGGTATCGTAAATAATCAATCTACTTTCGGCTAAATTACAACTGGTTAATTATTACTTGTTGATTAAGTAGTCAATCAACTTGCTTGTCGGCTACAACACAGTCATACCTTCGTGAGAATCAGCCATATGTGGTTCATAATCCGAGTAATTAGCACCAAGAGTTGAAAGCACATGTCAGTTACTTTCCTTTGAGTTGAATTTTGTCTGTGCAGCAACATTTCCCTCTTCTCTTTTCATCCAATTCAAATTAAGTAAGCTTACACAAGACATTTTTGTAGGGGGGTTGGATATCAGAAACTAGAAGTACATGGTGTAAATAATGAAATAATTTATTGAGGTAAGCTTGTTTATTTCAGGATGGCAACCACGATGGTTTGTTCTAGATAATGGAATATTATCGTATTATAAATCACAGGAAGATGTCAACAATGGTTGTAAAGGATCAATTAAAATGTCTGCTTGTGACATCTCAGGTTAGTCGTTCGTGTTTGTAATTAAATCAAGAAGTTTTGGAATTACACGTCAATATACTTCCACCTTTGATAGGACGTGTACATCGTACAATATTTGTATCATCAATAGGTCCATGGAAGACAAAATCAATATTTATATCATCAATAGGTCCATGGAAGACAAAATCAATTGTTAAAAATGTTGATAAAGCCTGTGTTGAAATATAATTGATTTTGTTTTCCACTGTCGACAGTTAAAACCAGAGAGCCACAGTGGCCTATCCCTGCATAGGCCGAGAAATTTCATCACCGTGCCAGTGATGCAAGACAGTTGGAATTCGATTTGAGGGTAGGCTGTATTGCGGCAAAATTTCCCTCACAGCATATGTACTGTATGGCATATGTCCATCTTTATTAGCCCAGTTGGAGCATTACAGTAGGACGTTGAACCCCATTTTAATTTAAATTATTTCCAGTCTCAACTTTTATTTGTTGACGTCCAGGCATTGGACGTCTTGGTCTCGGGGGAACCAGGATAGTGGCATCAAAGAATTTCAGGAACACAGGTGTCAAAGAGTTAAGAAGTTATCAGAAAATGCAGAAGATGTGATCATTTTTGTTTTTATTATTCCAGTTCATCAGACGGACCACTCTCGTATCGATCTGATTATTCCTGGAGAACAGAGATATTACGTTAAAGCTGCTAATTCCCAGGAACGACAAGAATGGTTGGTGGCACTCGGATCATCAAAAGCAGCGTTCAACAGTTCACACAACCGACCAGAATCAGGTACATAGATTAACATTTCTTGACCTGGGAGCTGCAGTGGCTCAGTCAGTAATATGGTTGCTTGGTAACCGGTAGGTCTCGTGTTCAATCTTGGTGTTGACTGATTAAGTTCATCAGGATAATCTGGCGTGATTCCCCCTTCCTTTTCAGTGGAGGTCCTGCGTTTGATCCCTGAATTGGCTGATAAATTTCATCAGGGTTTTCTGGCATGGTTCCACCTTGTCAGTGGTGCAGAACGGAGGACCTGGCAAAGGGCAACTTATAGTGGTTCGGATGGTATGAAAAACGAGGTCCCGTTTACACATTGGTGTGCACATTAAAGAAACCATGACAATTGGCATTTGAAATTAAAGTAGGCAGTAGCGCCACTGTCACAGTAAAATTTATTTCATAGCACACTGTATAGCGTATGCCCGTCTTCATTAGCCCAGTCAGAGCAGAACAGTAGGACGTTTAACCAGGGAATATGATAAGCCGTATCGCATCGCAGTTTGCTAAACAAGAATGACGTAAGTGCGAATCAAATATTTAGTTGATTAACAGAAACTTTAAGGGAATTTGTGAATCAAATTTCTTATTCAAAATTAAGTGTGAAAAAATGTTTAACAACATGATTTTCCATTCCATGGCGTTTGGTTGAACCATTATGAACCCTGGGGTGGGGGAGGGGGGCAATAAATTTTTTTTGTTCAACATTAGTAGGGATTTTCTTATTACTAGATGACCGTAACACTCTGGGTTCATACTGTTGATTAAAGTTGCCGTCGTCTACTAAACTTTGACGGGAATAGAATGGAAACGTCAATATGCCAATAATATTGTGTGTCTGTGGAGTGCTTAATAGAATGTAATTATTTACAATATTTGTTTATTGTTTCAGGAGAATTATCACCTGATATTATTAAATCCAAGAAATCGGAGTTACGTTTGTACTGTGATTTCCTCATGCAACAAGTGCATTCCGTGAAACAAATCGTAAAAGCAGAAAACGGTCCCCCTGATGAAGAGGTATCTATACAATATTTTATTCATGTAAATTTACCAAATTTATATAATAAATATAGGATACGATAACAAGCTTTATTGGCTTATATAAAATCGATTCCTTAAAATGGATCTTTAACAGATTTACAACTGGCAATCATAATGAAATGAAATGAAATGGGGTTTAACGGAAAACCACGTTGGAAAATCCAGATGAACTTTCTAGGCCAATGCAGGGATCGATCACACGGCCTCCAGACTAGCGAGCCAGCGTCTTGCCCACTTCAGTCGGCTGTCTAGTCATTCGGATGGGACGGAAAACTGAGGTCCCGTGTATACATTGGTGTGCACGTGAAAGATCCCTTGGCAGCTGGAATTTGATGTAAGAGTAGGCCATATTGCCGCTCTCTGGGCAAAATTTCTCTCATAGCACACACTGTATGCCCGACATCATTAGCCCAGTCGGAGCAGAATAGTAGGACGTTAAACCCCATTTAATTTCATTCATTTTCTTTTAACGATTCAGCTATAGTTTGCCAGGGTGATTTGGAGCTTATTGTAAGTGGTTGCGGACGCAAAGATGCAAAAAGCGTGCTAAAATATGAAAATAGCGTGTTAGATTTGAACTATAACGCGAAGATTTGCGTCTACAGTAATTTTGTTTAAAAGCAAATTTTAAAACTTGAGTTTTTCTATAGCTGAATTCTCTGAAAAGGTTGAAAATGTTTACGATAAAATTTTACGCAAGACACCATTTTGATGTGTATAGACTCACTTTCCTTTAACAAACTCTGAGTCTGAACGAAAAGACCGGCTATAATTGACCACTCGTAACTTAACCAATGAAATAACAATACGTCACCTTCCCGACAAATAATATATGCAAAACTGAAACCATGTGATATTATTGACCAATCATGTTATCCCTAACTATATTGACCCTCAGAAGACGAACAGGCCATTTCACACGGTTTACGCAGCCGTAACTAAAATACTACTGATGTAGTATTTTGGTCTAAATGACAATTGCTGCATTTTGTAAACGCAAAAAACAATAAAATACACATTTGTGAACAAGTGCTGGTTAGGACGAAGGTCCAAACGATCAAATTCTGTTCCAATTCTTCCAGTTGGCACCTGGCAGAAAAATGTTGTATTAATTTTAAATTGTTTACGTGATTACAACTAGAACTCCTGAAAGTTTATGCTTGTTACACTTTGTTTTTGCTCCTATTTTTAAAAATAACAATTAAAAAATTGCTTCTGGTATTGGAAGTAAGATTCGAACCCTGCTCTGTATGTTGGTTTTTATTTAATCTGTTTCTTCTTTTCGTTATAGAAATTAACAGAAGCGTCTCACCTGTTAGGGGCTACTTGTGACACTTTTATCCAGACATTAGAAGATTGTATGAAGCTGGTTAGTACAATGCCTGTTTATGAAATGCCCCATCAACATGTTACAGACTCGGCTATTCCACCCTCACCCTCTCATGGCCGTGTTAGAAGGGTAAGTCTATATGTTGTCGTTGTTGTTTATTACAGTTTTAACATCCAATATATGATATAAAGTATATGTTGATTTAATTACGTTTTTGACATATGATGGGTTGGATGGCCGAATGGTTAGGGTGTGCACATTGTATCATAAGGTCTGTCATTGAGTCAACTGGCGTAGGTTTCAATTCCCCGGTTGTACATGACAAGGAGTAGGATCACCTGTCCAACCTCATGGGTTTTCTCCGGGTCCTCCGGTTTCCTTTCACTGCTAAAAAACCCTATACGCAAGGGAATTATTGAAATAAAATGACCTAGTTTGTGTCGAATGGACGTTAAGCCACATTGTGTACTATATGTTAGTTAGGTTGCCCCTCGAACCTTTGTTTTCTACCACTGCTGAAAGACCCTATTATCTTCAAGCGATTTAACGACATAAAACAACCATGTGTTAGTCCCAAAATGACCTAGAGGTTGTATTTCCCCCTTCCCCTGTCGCTGCCTCTCCAGCCAGGAAGACAGTTAACCTTGTGGGGAATTCAATCTTTATTGTCCAGACCGAAGACCAATTGGGATGGAGCAGTTAATCAATAATTATTTAGCTCGTTGAATTGTTCTGATTATTTTTCAGTCAAGTTCTAACAAGAGTCAAACATCCAGACCTAACTCAGTAGAAAAGTAAGTTAACACGTTCTTTGTCTTTTAAATCCTAAAAACATTTTCATACATGACTGATATGTGCCCTTGTCTTTAATATCCAGCTATTCCACTCTTCCAGCAAGGGTCTTGAAAGTTCCATGCAGACATCTCATTCTGCAAGCCAGAGACTGGAGAGTCCCATCAGGGTCTTTCATTCTGCAAGTCAGTCCTGAAAAGACCCATTAGACTGTATCACTCTGCAAGCAAGGGTCTGGAAAGCTTTACCACTCTTCACCTGGCAGGCAAAGGTCTGGAAAATTCTACCAGAGTCTTTAACCCGACAGGCAAAGGTGTGGAAAATTCTACCAGACTCTTTCACCCATTGGGCAAAGGTGTGGAATGTTTCATCCGTCTTTCACTGTTTTATCCAACCCTTTCATGCTGCCTGTGAAGACATGAAATGTGGGAAACCTATATTTTTATTTTTCTTAATTCTTTTTCAGACAAATACCTAATCGCAGATCATCAAGTAGTTCTACAGAGGGGGCACCACCACCACCACTGTCTTCATCAACTCGACCACGCACAGTTTCCGATGTTTCTCATTCAGAAACGACCATAAGTGAACATTCCACCAAAGAAATCCCCCGAACGCGAACATCTTTATCGGAATCTAACGTAATTCCAGAACAACCCACTGAAACTCTAGTCACAAAGAAAGTGAATTCCTCCACTGTACAGTTACCTCCCTTGTCTGTAAATAGTTCCGAAGACATGGAGTCGCCCGAAGATTTTCAAGATGCCATTGATCCTAAATTACCAACATTCTTTTCAAGTTTAGAAAAAAGGTTTTTATACGTTGATAATCTACTTGGAAATATATTGTCATCACTCCTGTTTGCCATTCACATCCGACCACCAATGGAGGAGGGTGGATAACTGAATGGTTGGCGTGTGTTCATTGTATCATAATCTCTGCCATCGAGTCAATTGGCGTAGTTTCGATTCCCCAATAATTTACGCGGGGATACATTATCGTCACTCCTGTTTGTCACTCACATCCGCCCACCAATGGTTAGTGTGTGCGCGCTGTATCATAAGGCCTGCCTTTGAGTCAATTGGCGTGGTTTCGATTCCCAAGTTGTACGAGACAAGGAGTAGGGTTGCCTTACCTACTTTGTATCGAGTGGACGTTAAACCCCATCTCTCTCTCTCTCTGTTAAGAAAACAACCTATCAAAATTTAGACTTCGGTGGCTGATTGGTTTACCTCATGCTTGGTTTTGATACCCCGCTTGTACGTGACAAAATGTCCAACGTTGTGGGTTTTCTCTGGGTTCCCCAGTTTCCTCCCAGACCTGAAAACCCATCCTTGCAAGTGAATTATTGAAATATAATTGAACAATTTGTTATTTTCTCTACAACCGTTCAGATCTTCATGTAGTGTAGGCCATTGAAAGTATAAAGAAACAAAACTATATAGATCTGTATTATAAAAAGATTGGGCAATGAATGATTGAAATGGGGTTTAATATCCTACTGTTTCCAGGACGTTGTTCTGTCTTCATGTGCAGAAATAATAAACATTTTGTAAATATACTAGTTTTCAACTTATTTTATAATTTATTTATTTTAGTTTTTCAGATCTAGATTTAACCACACCAGATGGTATTATAGTACCAGATTTTCTGTCAGCGTGTCAATGTATTATTCCCTTGTTTGGTAAGTCATCACATGTTTCACCTTATACTCAACATATGAAGTGGTGGGTATCCCTACCAGATTTCTTTTATGAAGCTACTAGTTTTTTCTTATGCGACCTCTTCAGGTTTCGGTGTGCTAGGTTTTGCGACTTTTACCTTTATATAGTCGTCAAAAAATGTATTGAAATCCAATAAATATCACAGGCTGGTGATGACATCGAGAGTTGATTGTGGGCTGGATGAGTTAATTAATGTCTAATTAATAATTTAGATAACATTTCAGACCTAAAGAAAGACCTGCAATAGGCAGATTTAGCTCTTGCCTAATGTATGTTTAACGTTATTTGATAATTGTGTGTTCTGTGCAGGGAATCTCATGTTTTTTTTATGTAGCACCTTGGAGCACAACGGTGGATAAAATGCCATATAAGTGTTCATAATCTTTTAATAATGATAAAATTCTATTGGTTGATTACCATTTGCAAAAAAAAAAAAAAAAAAAAACTGCAGCAGAAATGCAAGGAAATATTTATTTATCTACTGTTACACAAAGCTGAAGTAAATTGGTTTGGTTTTTTTTTTAAAATAGAAATTAATATATTTGTAGATAAGTTAAATGGAACAGCCTTTGCTCCTGTAAAAATGGATTTTGCCGGAAATATCAGAGTAAGTAACAAACTTCAAAGGGTCAAACAGATCACAATTCTATGGAATACAATGACTAATTATTACTGAGCGGGGGGGTTGGATGGCTGAATGGTTAGCGTGCGCGCGCTGTATCATAAAGTCTGTCATTGAGGCGACTGTTGTGGTTTCGAATCCCCGGTTGTACGTGACAAGGAGTAGGGCCGCCTGTCCAACCTCGTGGGTTTTCTCCCGGTCCTCCGGTTTCCTCCCACTGCTAAAGACCCCTACGCGCAAGCGAATTATTGAAATAAAATTAAAACCATATGTTAGTCCCGAAATGGCCTAGTTTGTGTTGAGTGGACATTAAACCCCATTTCTCTCTCTCTCTCTATTACTGAGCGACGTTTCCACTAGACTTCTCTAGTCATTGCTTGAATAGTGAAGGGGGGGTTGGATGGCCGAATGGTTAGCATGTGCGCCCTGTATCATACGTTTTTTTTCATTGAGTGAACTGGCGGGGTTGCGAATCCCCGGTTGTATGTGACAAGGAGTTTGGGCGTCTGTCCAACCTCATGGGTTTTCTCCGGGTTCATCCCACTGCTAAAGACCCCTACGCAGAAGCGAATTATTGAAATAAAATTGAACCATATGTCAGTCTCGAAATTGCCTTGTTTGTGTCGAGTGGACGTTAAACCCCATTTTTCTCTCTCTCTCTCTCTACGAATCTTTTCCAAACTTTATTATAATGGTTCTTATGAGTAGTCGACAGGGTTGAACTTTAGTGCAATCAGCTGTTTTTGTTCCAGAGTTATGGTCCTTTATAATTAATTACCGTAATTTTGCTTGTCGACACTTTTTGCTTTCAGATAAGCTTGAATGCTGTATATGGCTACCTATTTTTTTTAGATAAATCTGCTGTAATTAGGAAGATTATTACTTAGATTATACAAGAAAGTAGATTTCACATTTTGTCAATTATTGTTGTATTTCGTTTATCTCGGATAAGAAAGATATTTTTGTTATGGAATGTGATAATTTTTAGCTGTCCAGACAAAATTTCCCTCATTAGTCCGGTTTGTGCAAAAAAGTAGGATGTTAAACTTTATTCCATTTCATAAATAAATAGATAAATTTTGTATTTTTTTTTAAAAGAAAATGAGACAGAAGTATTCAACCGATCCAGCCAAATTTGAAACGTTACAGAAAATGGTTTTATCTGAAGTACAGGCTAAACAACATACAAACTCAAACTCGGCTACCGTCGCATTGCTCTGGATGAAAAGGTTAGATGGAATTTGTAAAAAAAAACCCAGAAATTTAAGATTCTTTCTGGATCTAGAAATTTTACAAGTTTCTTTATTGACGAAAATTGTTATCAGCATAGTGGTTGTCAAACAGGGCACTGCCGTGGGAAACGAAATAATGTTTAATGTCCCACTGTTCTGCACGGACCGGTCTAATGAAGACTGGAATATGCCATGCAGTGTGCTATAAGGGTAATTTCCTCGGACAGTAATGTTTCCAACTATTCTCATTAAATTCCAACTGTCATTGGTTCTTTTAGCTCAGGTTTTCAACCCAGCTGAGTCCTCCGGTTTCCTCACATTGTTAAATACCCATGGTTTCCTCACATTGTTAAATACCCATAGACGCTAGCGAATTATTGAAATAAAATTGTATCATATTTTGCTTGTCTGCACTCTAAGAGTTCACATTTTTCCTTCCCATCTGAGTCCTCTGTTTTCCTCACACTGCTATGGATAAACCCATAAATGCTAGCGAATTAGTGACGTAAAATTGTTATCATATTTTCTTCCCATTATGTCCTAGTTTGGGTAGAGTTCTTTATTCATTAATGACAGTGATTGACAGTTGAAAATTAACACGAGATAGTTGTTATCTCTGCCAAATCTCGAGTTAGGTGTAGGACAGAGACTTTAATTGGTTGCTTTCTGTAATTATGGATAATGGTTTATCTGTGTTGGGAGCCACTGTGGCTCAGTGAGTTGCCCCCCCCCCCTCAGTGATTACCGAGAAAGATAATCATCAGTATTCCCGGCAGTGGTGTAGAACAGAGGGACTGGCAAGGGACCAAAAAAAAAAAGAGGCCCTACAAGATTTTCTTGCACGTATTCCAATTGTCATTGGTGCATGACAAGGACAGCTGTGTAATCGTTTGGATGGGTTGAAAAACCGAGGTTCAGTGTAAACATTAAGGTGCACGTAAAAAAGAACCCTCAACAGTTGGAATTTAATATAACATTAGGCCGTAGTGCCGCTGCCCGGGCAAAATTTCCCTCATAGCACACTGTATGGCGTATCCCCATCTTCATTAGCCCAGTCTGAGCAGAATAGTAGGACGTTAAAACCCCATTTCATTTCATCACCTGGGTTGTGTATACAACTTGACTCAAATGTATATTATTTCATGATATGAAACTAAACTATTTATTATTTTTACAGAGGATTAGAATTTATTCGTGAGATATTACGTGAGATTAATAGCGGAGAGATGGATCTAACTCTGTGTGCTAGCAACGCTTACAATAGAACTTTAAAAAACTATCATGGTTGGGTTGTACGAGGAGTGTTTGCCGTGAGTCTTTTATTTATTTGTTAAAGATGCAATCTGAGTAAAATAACAGATCTATATTTCATTTTGTATTTTTATGCTTTCGATGGCCTACACTACGGGGGTACTCAATTGAACATTCCGGAATTGAATTCCTTCAATTCCAAAAATAGTGACAATCGAGAGAAAAGGTGATTTCGGGCTACAGCACATGCGTCGACTGAATAAGTAAATATCTCAACCAACCGTGCAGCCGAAACCTTTTAATTACGTCACGATTCTACTCACACCACCTCCGTTGTTGGGAATGACAGAACTGTGACAGAACTGAATTCCGCGTTACTCGATTGCAATTCTGTCAATTCGGGACGTTCTGGACTGTGAATCGAGCATCCCCTACATGAAGTTCTAACCGGTTGTAGTGGAAGATCCCGTCAGAGGTCATATAAGCGGATTTTGACCCTATGACGTCAGATATTTGATTAACCAATCAGCGTTGATGTTTCTAGAGGGTTACCCACAGATCCATGCACCTCACGCCAAAAACTCGCTGTAACATACCATTTTTTTGGCTAATCCCTCACATTATCCAGAACGCGGATTATATAACAACTCGTCCAGATCCGAGTGTAGTAAAGACAAGTAAAACGAAATTTTGAACTATAAAAAACAAAACGAAGTAGGATCTGTGTTTTAACCCATTTAACCCTGAGCCAATTCAAATATTAGCTACCCTAACCCTAAGCTAATTAAATCAGCAGGGCCCATTTCCTGAGCCAATTAGTGGATTATTGTTAATCCTAATACCCTCTACAAAATTGCAAATAACTAAAAAATATTTTCTATACATAGAAATACTCTGTTAGAAAAATGTACAGATTGTCGTGTTCTTTCCAATGATATAAAATTCAATTTTACAAAGTAGAAATTATATTACTATAAATAACATTGAAAAGTCAGTTCCACTAAAATTATGACTTTTCTCTGTCATAATGGTAAAATAACGTGAACAAGTATCCCCTAATAATTTTTTTTTAAAAATAGAACATAAATATAGTCCCTCATGTTGGCAGCAGTGTTCAAAATAAATGTAAATATAACTTTTAAAAAGAAATATCACCCCAAGTGACGGTCACTTCATCGCTATCGGCATTTTAACATTTCTGTCTTTCTTTGGATATATGGTCGTCTCCTTTGCTTTATTGCGTCGAAAATAAAAATATATAGTTGAAATCTTCGACAATGTAATATTCCTCTATGTAGCTTGTATTAAATCCCAAAAGTTTTGATTCAATTTAGTTTTCCAAAGTCTAGAATTATTAGCCGTAAGTTTTGTGTTATCGTCTGTTTGAAAGCGCACCGTATCCAAGATGGCGGCGACACGCTTGATCTCGGTTCGTGTATCCGTATTCTTCGCATTATAACGTCAAAAAAAATAACAAATAGTTGATTTCTTCGACATTATCATATTCTACGATATGCCTGGCAGTAAATCATAAAAAATCTGATTTCATTTCACTCTTCATGTCATAAAATTATTAGCCGTAAGTGACAAGGTGAAAATATTGGAATACTGCCAAAGTCATTGACACGGTGTGAATTTTCACCTCTGACCTCTTACGTAAATACTGGAAGATCCTTTGTTGAAACGTATGTTTCTTATTCGATAATTGGCGAATATAACATTCCTTTTCATTGCGTGTTTTATTTTTATTACTCAATCACCATTAATTTATGAAATAAACACAATAGAAATCTGTTGATTGATCTGGCGCTTTTGTTCGCTAATGCCGTTGCAAAGAATGATGGGTCCGCGAGTTTATTCGCTACCGTGAGTCACTTGGTGCGAGTTGTTTCGCTATTGTCAAAAATGGGTTAATCAGATTGTTAAACATATATTACGTAAGAGCTAAATCTGCCTATTGCAGGTCTTTCTTTAGACCGTAAATGTTATATTAATTATTAATTAGACATTTATTAACATGACAAGATCATAATCAACTCGAGGTCATGGCTGAGATTTTAACAGATTGAAACACGATTGCCATATAATGATTTAATTTAAAATTGGTGAATCAATTCGAAATATTCAAGACTGACAATCAAGCTCTCCTTTATCGATTGCCATCTTTTGACCATATCTGAAGAATTCCAAAGGGAATTTTGAGCGATATGGAATCGATTAAAAAATCTCCTGCTGATTGCCAGCTCTAATTCATTTTCAGCTCATTGGTAATTCTTTTCACTCATGAAATAGAATAACATATTTTATTGTTTTTAATTTTACAGGTGGCAACCAAGGCGTTACCATATCGTGAAGTGTTTTTAGCACAGTTGGCTACAGAAGATTGCGATACCCAGGGTCAGATTTATGCTCATTCCGTTCAAGAGGATATCGAGAGCTACGTTAAAGGCCTGAACAACACAATCAAAGTCATTGATCATTTTTACAAGTCAAATAATCTGGATGATCAAGAACAAATCTAAGCTTGCTATCGTCACTAATTCTGTTATACTACTGTAACTAGGGTATCGTGCTCTTTAAGTGGGAGTTTCTGTATTTACTATTTAGTTTCAGACCACTGTAGTCTGTGAAGTGCTCAACACTGCTCTGGAAAATGAACAGTTGTAAGTCCAACAGTCATATAAGTTTAAATTACGAGACAGTTTCTGTATTTAATGTTTTGTGATTAACAGACTAATTAATTACTCATCACGACTCGCGAAAGTAAACAGTTATAAACCCAACACATTATCTAATCTAGACAGACCATTTAAACTATACAACAGTAGAAACCAAATGGTTTTCACATATTCTCAATAAATTTGAATAATTGGCCAACAATGGTTTGAAACTAAACATTAAAATTGCAATTTCATATTTTTAAGTTATATTTTTAAAATGTATTAAAATAAAGCCTTAAAATAGATGGTATCTATAAACAGTCCTGCCTTGTTAAAGAATAATCCTATTAATCCTATAATTCACTATTGCCAGTTGAGAAATTGGCAAAAATATCATTTTTCTCTTCAAATTCAAACGTTTGAAGATAACTACTCCATGGTGGAGAATAGAAAACAAGGGAGGTAATTTGGAGGTAATTGTGTTATTATTTCCGGTGTAAATGAGTTTTAAGTGTGAGAATGACACCTAAAATGTATGATCGTATAATAGTGAGTTGACAACCTATTGAGCAAAAGACATAGAAATAATTATGTTTTGACTTTCTTAGAAAATATGAAATTGTAACTTTAAATGCAGAAACTCTTGGTAAAACAGCATTATTAAACGATACCCAAGTTGTAGTGTCAATGCATTTAAAAGTTTTATGTTTGTTAATTGTTAAAGAAAATTTTACGTGATTTAGTCCCACACAGAGACAGATGATATTGTAAGTTTTGATTTGTTCAAAACTGGGGGGAAATCTATGTTTATTTAAATTAGGTCGGTCAGCGTATGTAGGTCACAGCGATAATTTCAGATTTAGAATAACCTTAATTTTCATGCACGACACTGAAAGCTGATCAAATTAACAAAACATAATAAAAGACAAGCACCCTAACTGGATAAATAAGTCTACTCACTGTTTCCAGTATTTCCATGATTAACAGTATTATACAAACTGTACTAAAGATTTAAATCAAGAACTGGTCATTCTTCTTATATAAAATAGTTCAAAAATAGATAACGAAAACTGAGGTCTGTCCTTGAGTCAACTGGCATGGTCTTGATTCCCTGATTGTACTTGACAAGGAGTAGGGTCGCCTGTAGAAACTCAGAAGTTTTCTCTGGGTCCTCCCGCTGCGGAAGACTCCTATGTGCAAGCAAATTATTGGAATAAGATTGAACCATTTGTTAGTCTCGAAATGACCTGGTTTATCTCTTAATTCCTTTGTTTTCCATCAGTAAACTGGGTATGAACTTCATGGAATTATTTGATGTCAATTTTCACACCACATTGAATTGTAACTTAGGTTATATACATTTGTCATTTTCATATATGGTATGTCAAGTTTGAATTCATTTATTTGTTTTAGGTCACAATTTTATTGAGTAGCAGTAAGTGATTGAATATGATAACAGATATAAAATGAAATGAAATTGTGTTTAAGGTCCTACTTTTTTACATTAATCAGGCTAATCAACACTGGTGTCAAGGGGGGAGGCTATCCGAAAATTTTTGTTCTGAAATGTTAAAGCTGTTGTATTGAAAATAGTACAAGTAGTTAGAAAATGTAATAAAGGAGGGAAAATTAACATTAAAAAAAAGTTGTTGCCAGGGTAACTCATTTTGGGGGAAAAAATTATGAAAAACGTAGGTACGCTATATCTCTGTAACTAATTCAGATATCTTCACCAAATTTGCAGGTTATATAAACTAATATCTCCCACAGAATCAGACAGAAAGCAATTTGAATTATCATTAATATTATAAAAGTTATCAAAATATTTCTCCAAAGGCAAAATATTGTAGTGAGGCAAATGTTTTAAACATCATTTTCCAAGAAACTATAAAAATTATAGAGAAAAACTCTTTGTCTGGTTTTAGGGTTATCATTAAAGAATAAGCAGTCCAAAAATGAGACATTTATCTTCATTATTATCAGAGATATGTGGTGTACCTACGTTTTTCATACTTTTTCCAAACAAATGTGTTACCCTGGCAACAACTTTTATTTTTTTTTTTTTAATATTAGTTTTCCCTTGTTTATTACATTTCCTAACTACTTGTGCCATTTTCAATTCAATAGCTTTAGAATTTCAGAAAACATTTTTCGGGTAGCCTCACCCCTCAAGTCTCTCTCTCTCACTCTATGGAAAAGTAAAATATTAAACCCAATTTCATTATTTTTTTTTAATCAAATCAATAATTTACCTCGATGACTCGATTTCCTAGCCCTAAGAGCAGATAAAATTAGAAATTATAATCATATCAAGGACAGTATTTTGTAAACTTTGTTGAACTGAAGAGTATAAGGAACATAGCAAATTATGCATTTATTATAAAATATGTTTTGTTGACTGTATTTAATAAGCTTTGATTCTATTATAAATTTAATTTAAATGGAAGAGAATTACTAATATGATATTTATTAAACTTTAGAGACATTAACTGATCATTTCCCTTTAATTAGCTTTAATCAAACAATTAAAACATGGATATCTGTAAAATAAATATGCTGAAATTAAAACTGGGAAGTGTGTAGGAAATACGGTGAAATTCCACCTGAAATGTTGTAGAAAATACAGTGAAATTCCACGTGGGATATTTGTAGAAAATGCGGTGAAATTCCACCTGGTTTGTCTGTAGAAAATATAAATTATTATTATGGGATAGATATATTATCTGGTGCAATATTTATAGCGGAATATTTTATCGTATATATATAGGTGAGATTAAATGAACTGATGTGGGAAATATAGCTCTATTTTACTAATTGTAATAAGTAGTACCCATTATAAACACAGCGGGGGGGGGGGGGGGGGGGGGGGTGTAATTTGACCCTCGGGGTAAGTTGAGCCACCCCCTCTCCAGTCTGTATGAACAAAGAAGTTGATATGCCAAATTATATTTTAGACAGTAATTTTGTAGAATGAGTTCATTTTCAATAGTTCTAATACTCTGATAAAGACAATTCAGTGCTGCTGAATCTATACCCTACTCATTCATTTATTTATATATATATAATATCATGATAATGTCATGACCAATTGAAACAACAACATGCCATGAATAAACATTGTATTGTTGTGAAATATATCAACTTATCCCATATGGTGGAACAACTTACTCCATTATACCCCACCCTTGGGGTAATTGTGCCATTTGACGAAAGATTTTTTGGGACCCCCCCCATTTTATTCCGGCATAGTAATTTGGCTTGATAATGCTTGTTAATGATGAACAACTTCTTAAACTATCAAGAGAAACCAATTTAGGCAGGAAATTAGGGATTCTTTGAACTCCAGAGCAGTTTTTGTGACACATGGCACAACTTACCCGCCTCTCCCCTATATGTAGATTAGACCATTAGAAATACAACCGTACGTACTTTAACTCAAATAATTGTCAATCAAGAAATACAGCTGTTGTATACACATTAACTTATATAATAGTAATCAAGGGGATGTATAAATTTTTACCGGTGTTGTGTTCAACGTTATATAGACATATTCATTTATAATATTCTAGCAGAGATATGTCGAGTGAGAAACCTATGGACTAAGGTATGGATGGATCATACATTTATTAAGTTGGTGCACTTGTTTTAATTTTAACATTTGATAATTGTGTGTAAATGGTAATATTTAAGGAAAAAATATTTGTCATTCAGAAATTATCTAGGGTATACCTGTGTACCTGTACTGTGGTATATCCGTGTACCTTGGTATATATGTACCATGGTATATATGTGTACCATTGTATATCTGTGTACCATGGTATATCTGTGTACTGTGGTATATCTGTGTACCATGGTATATTTGTACCGTGGTATATCTGTACCGTGGTATATCTGTGTACTGTGATATATCAGTGTACCTTGGTATATCTGTGTACCTGTACTGTGGTATATCTGTGTATCTGTGACATGGTATATCTGTGTACCGTGGTATATCTGTGTACCTTGGTATATCTGTGTACTGTGGTATATATGTGCACCTGTACTGTGGTGTATCTGTGTACCATGGTATATCTGTGTACCTTGGTATATCTGTGTACCGTGGTATATCTGTGTACCGTGGTATATCTGTGTACTGTAGTATATCTGTGTACCATGGTATATCTGTATACCGTGGTACATCTGTACCTATACAGTGTATATCATGGTATATGTTGGTATGTGTCTGCCTGTATATTTACTACACACTTCGTCACAAGAACAGACTTATTTACGTACACTTTTGTTATTTATTGAAATAAAAAATTTAAATTGTAAATACTGTTTAAATTGTTGATTTTATATTTTGTTGTTGTTTGATCGTATGATAAATGCAATCCTGCTTTAACTACGTTCCTTTCAAAATGATTTAAGCCAAGTTTTGTACTTATAAAACCATGAAACGTATTGTGAAATTTTTGTTGAGAAATAAAATTAAATGCTGTAAATATTAAGGCCAAATTGTTACTAAAATGAATGATAACGTTTTGGTTTTTTTCGTTGAAGATATATTTCCACGACAAGCCAAAATTCTAACTATATGTACTTAACCATGAATTAAAATAAACATAGCCATACGAATTGGATTCCAAACAAGACATTAAAACCTGATTGGTCTTTCTAGCATGTATGAAGCACATGGTAAGAAAACAAAGGCAGACTCGGCAGTTGAGTCTATAAATTTTCAAATCGACAAATATCACACTTTTAATTTTGAGGGTTTAAAATATGCCCGCCCTAATTACGATTAAGGGAATATATCTTCAAGCTATAATAAGAGGGTTGCACAGATGACCTTATTATGATCAAGGGAATGTATCTTTAACCTATGTATGGAGGGTTGCAAGGGTCACAATTTTGTTGTTTTGCCGAGTTTTTTGGTTGGTGTATATAATATTACTTGCGGGAGTTATTGAAATGATTAGACCTCCTCGACTGGGGTCAAAAATATAATTGTTGACTTTTATTGAAATATTTATATGTCGTTTTGTTTTGTGAGATGACAAGCTTTTCTTTGTTTAAAATTTTACCTGTAGTGATAAAATAATATTCAGATAAAATTAATTTATGATTATTACAAGTTTCTAAACTCATCAAAAACTCATCTGTTACGTAGACTAAATTTAAAAGACATGTATATATACTGATGTCCAAAAGAAAGTATACACACTAAAAGTATGACTAAGTTTTGTTTAGATTAAAAACATTTGATAAAGCATTACTGAGTTTGTGTCTTGCTTCCAAACTCAACATTTCTAAGTAAAATAAAAATGTGAAACAAATTAACATCGTACCCAAATACCCTTACTATGGAAAAACGACTTTGGTTGATGCAGCACAAAATGCACAGTGTATACTTTCTTTTGGACATTAGTATATTTTATTGAGTTAAAAAGTGCTTTTCTCAAGTTTATTGATGGATTTGGTTACAATTCTATGAAATACGATTATTGTTTATTATTGAGAGACGTTTCCACTAGGCATGGTCATTATCTAGCGCTTAATAATGACTATAGATGCCTAGTCCAAACGTGGCTCAGTAATTGTATTCCATAGAATTTTGACCTATATGTTGTTGTCCCCCGCCTTTCGAAGAAAGCAGGGGACTATTAAAATGGGTTCGTCTGTCTGTCTGTCTGTCTGTCTGTCTGTCTGTCCGTCACACTTTTTGGGACACAATAACTCTCTTCCTAATTGAGCTAGAATGTTCAAACTTGGTGTATGTGTTTATTAGGTCAATGCCTTGATGGAGTTCGAAGATGAGCATTTTCCGCTTAGGGTAAGCAGAGATAAGCAATTTGATTGGTTGATGCTTTGGGACACGATAACTCTCTTCCTAATTGGGCTAGAATGTTCAAACTTGGTGTATGTGTTGATTAGGTCAATGCCTTGATGGAGTTCGAAGATGAGCATTTTCCGCTTAGGGTAAGCAGAGATAAGCAATTTGATTGGTTGATGCTTTGGGACACGATAACTTTTAATTGAGCTAGAATGTTCAAACTTGGTGTATGTGTTTATTAGGTCAATGCCTTGATGGAGTTCGAAGATGAGCATTTTCCGCTTAGGGTAAGCAGAGATAAGCAATTTGATTGGTTGATACTTTGGGGCACGATAACTCTCTTCCTAATTGAGCTAGAATGTTCAAACTTGGTGTATGTGTTGATTAGGTCAATGCCTTGATGGAGTTCGAAGATGAGCATTTTCCGCTTAGGGTAAGCAGAGATAAGCAATTTGATTGGTTGATGCTTTGGGACACGATAACTTTAGTTCTAATTAAGTGAGATTGATGAAACTTGGTGTATAGTTTCATTACAGTAATACCTTGACTAAGTTTGATAATGAGCATTTTCTGCTCAGGGTAAGCAGAGCGATACGCAATTTGATTGGTCGAGACTTTGGAACTCAATAACTCTCCTTCTAATTGAGGTAGAATGTTCAAACTTTGTGTAGCCGTTCATTAGGTGAATGCCTTGATAGAGTTCGATGATGAACATTGTTTGCTTATGGTAAACAGAGATAAGCAATCTGATTGGTTGATGCTTTGGGACATGATAACTTTAATTCTAATTAAGTTAGAGTGATGACTGCATGCTTTGGGACAAGATAATCGTGATTCTATCAGATAGAGAATGATGAAACTTAGTGTATAGTTTGATTGCTCGATACTTTTGAAAAAAATAAATGTGCGATTAATTAATATGTCATCTATTTATTTTGGGATTTCAGCGGGGGACATCAGCCTCACTGTTGGCTTGTTATTATTTATTTTGTATTCCACTAGTAAATCGGAAAGGGAAACTAAAATTAGTAAAGTTAATTTGTCCATAATATTACAAAACAAAAATTTAATGGTAGGCCTATAGAGCTAGCCCAATATCGGATCGAAGTATCAAATCAGGGCCCTGTTTCACAAAATTTTAACTAAGACAAAATCCAAATTTTAGTAATTTGATTGGATAATATTAGACTGATTTTAGTGCTTAGCCAATCAAAATTGAAGTATCTACTAAAATTTGGATTTTAACTTTAGTTTAGATTTCGAGAAACAGGGTCCAGATCATCTAAATTCAATGTTTTATTTCCATCTAAATCTTAGCTATGTTTTTGTTAAAGGTCACATAATTCATTGGAGCTATGTATTTTAAATGTGTGATATATAGATAATGTTCTAACAATATCATCCTTGGTACCAACAGTGGTATCGTTCCATTCTTATCTATTAACCCCTAGGTCCATTCAAATTATCCCCCCTTATTGTGTTATTTTTATCGTTCAATTCGATAAATAGAAAGGAAGTAGGCGAAGGGAAGTAACTTGCGATGACGATGCATACAAGTCACCAATGATTCTTGGCACTGGGCCCTGATTCACGAAATTTTAACTTAAGATAAAATCCAAATTTTAGTAGATACCTCAATTTTGATTGGCTAAGCACTAAAATCAATCTAATATTATCCAATCAAATTACTAAAATTTGGATTTTGTCTTAGTTAAGTTTTCGTGAACTCGGGCCCTGGTCTGTAAACTATCCAGTAAGTGTACCCAGGAGAAAGTGGAGTAGAATGTAATGATTCCACCGAGGACCCCGAGCGAGGATCGTTAACCTGTTATGTTATAATACGTGGTCAGTGTATTGTATTGTATGGTTGTTGGTATATAAACTACAAATGTATATAAAGATTGTGTTGTCATGGCAACTGTGTATTATCAATGAAAAACCAAAAATTTAGCATTTGAATTCTTTTCAAGTTTTATTGAAAAGATACAAAATATATAAGAACATTCTTGCATAACATTGAAGTTTGAAATAACATGGT